TGAGATGAATCTACACCATCTTTGAAACTTCAAGACGCTGTGCGAATCTAAGAGCATCGTCAATGTTCTTTGGTTCTTTTTCCCTAACCTTTAATTCTAATTCAGCATTATCGAGGGCTGACAAGAAAAAGTCCCTAGCTAGATGTGTAGCTAATCTTGACTGCTCTCCTGGATAGGCTAATGACATGAGTCTTTTAGTAACCATTGACAACTCTCGTAACGACTCACCAGGTTTTCGACGAAGAATCTGTAATTCGTACCTGTATGACTCTTCATGACCTCTTGTTCCAAAACGATCTTCTAGCTTAGATACCAGCTCTTGGTAACCTAAACCTGTTAAATCCCAGAGAACCTGTGAAGCTTCACCTGTTAACGAACATGACAAATACGCTTCCATGTCTACGAGATTCCAATTATTGTACCTGGCACATATCTCAAACTTTTTTAAGAAAGTTTTGAGACAGCCGGTGCCATCAAATCTGTCAGGTCGAAGCAATTCGCGACGACAAAAGTCGTTGTCACGCTCGGCACCTATACGCGGTTGATGAACCTGAGACTTCATACCAGTTAAATGAAGCGGTTCCCGACTGTCACTCGTCAACTTGTGTTCAACTGTGTCTCTCTCTCGCTCGGTCGCTCTGCACCTGTTGCAGTTACCTAAAATTTTATTTCGCCGTGATCTACTGGACGCTAATCGCAGCTTATTCAGTCCGAACTCCTGCAACTTCGGATCACCCTGGCACCTAAAACCTAAAATATCCTGTTTGGGGATAAACCTGTAACCTAAATTATTTGCTGAAAAATCAATGCGCGGCTTTTCTTCGTACCTGTCAACAATTTCAAAACGATTGTTATTTAAAACAATTTCATTTTGTTGGCTGGCGGGCGTTGAAAGTCTGCTCGAGGTTGATCTTCGATCCTCCTTCGGTTCCTGTGACCTAAAATCTAAAAAAGTTTCATGTTGTCGAACATGGCACCTGTCACCTAAAAAATTTGGAGAATAACCTTGGCTCCTGCTGCACCTAAAACCTGTAATGTTTGAAAAAGAGGCCCCACGTTGGGCGCCAATTGTAGATTTTCGCCGGGCGACATTCGAATTCCGCACCACGCGGTCCCGAACCGCGTCCGCATACGAATATCCACCCGAGCCTTCGCTTCGGCGGAGTCTTTCCTGGCCGGGATCCGCCACTCTACAATAGACCCTCTCAGGGTCTGAAAACACGGGCCGGGCGGAAGTTTGTTCGCGCCCTGCTTGTTGACTAGAGACGCCGACCTCGTCAACTATCAACAAGTCTTCTTCAACATCCATTATTTTAGGTAGAATAATTAAGTCGAGCCAAACTTCAAGTGTACACTTCTTTTATTCAATAAAAGAAATAAAATAACAAACAAAATAATACAAATCAAACCTCTGTCCTTATTAAAACAAAACGATAAGTCCAAAATTAATCTATTAATAATACAACTGACAAGCAAGAGACCAAAACCTAAAATTAAGATAACAAACGACCAGCCTCTCTATATCTCAACTCGCGGCCTTTTATATGTTTTTACCGCCCTATCTACATAACGCTTTCTATATTATAGAAAATTCTATACTCCTATCTATACTCTTTTCCTATACTCAGAAAAGCGATACAGCACAGCAGCGTCGCATATATAGCATATCANATAACAAAATATACATGCATAGAATGACTAGTAAAATATATAGATATGTATAGGCGGCACGCCTCA